TAGTTATCAGTAAAACAATCCTGTATCTTAGTGAGATCCTCTGCTGCATTTTGATTTTAAAAACAAAAACCACTCCACTACACCTGCTTTGGAAAAAGCTCTTGCAATATTTTATTACGGAAAGATCGAAAATGTTGACATGACTGGGTTGATAGGAGGACATTCTGTTCTCAGCCTCTGAATAAAGGAAGTTTAGAGTCAGAGTGGTAACTGGGAGCTGCTGTGGATTAAAGTTTTGCCATAGTGGCGTGCAGGACTGGAGTTTGGGGATAGGCATCTGAATGTGCAGTAATTATGGGTAAGGGATAAGAAAAATACAAAAGTTCTTTTGTGAAGTTAAGGAAGGAAGACAGCCCATCTTTTGGGAAAAAAAAAAAATAGTGTTTGCTTTTTCTTTCTATGTTGGTGGAAAATATGTGGAAAGGTAGAGAGATTTCAAACTGTGAGTTTTGGCTGTAGTAAAGAACTTGAGTGCTCTTCCCCTCAGCCCTTCCTCCCCCAGTTTGAAGGTATTCTTTGCCTTGGCTGTGGTTCATTTCAGAAGTCAGATTTTTAACTCTGGTTTTACCACACTCTGTGTGTGGAAAAACAGAGCAGAAGTTTCAGTGCACATACCAAACAGACGCAAAGTTGAAATTAGTATTTCCTAGAGTGTCTCGTGTCCCACAGGGGAAACGTCCCTCCAGGCTTCCTCCAAAGCTCGAGGAGTTCTGCTCTTTTCACTCCATTTGTGAAAATACATCTGTCCTTTGTCCTGCCCTTAGCAAGAGTCTTTTGAAACCAGAGGTGGACAGGACTGCTTGCTTTCCAGTGCTACAGTTTCACTTAGGCTTCTGTTTCTGACTTCTTGTTGCTGACCCAGTCTGTAGCCAAACTTTGTCTTTTGTCTGTTTTTCTCCCTTCTTTTGCCCCTTCTTCCCACCCTCAAAAGCACCCTGGAGTGGAATCCAGTTTGCACAGATGTAGAGCAGTATTGCTGTTGCTAGTGGGCTGGGTTGAATGCTTCTTTAGTTTGTAGCAAGTTCTAATTAGGCCCTTCCAAGCTGAAGGAAGGTACTTTGGTACTGTTTCTACTCGCTAGAGGGAAGAAAGCTCAGGGTGGCAGGGTTTTGAGGCAAGCACAGTGTGGATCCGCAGAAGTCCTGAAACGATCAAGTAACTCCGGCTGTGTGAGACAGCTGATGATCTTAGAAAATCCCATCCAAAAGCAAGTAATTGTATTTTGCTGTACCAGATCTGTTTTTCAGAAATAATTGCATGTGGGTTTTTGCATGGTCTGACATGTAAAACTGGACAAATACTTTTGGTTTTCAAATTTGGTCCCTGAATGCATCTTCAGTTTGCTGATAGACCTTTGCTAGATTCAAGGTTTCCCAGTTCCCAGAGCAGAACGGGGACTGTGCATGACCGTTTTGACATCACACGTTAAGAGGCTTGGTTAACTAGAGCTGTGTTTAAAAATGTTCACGAGACATTCACATGAGGGTTAAAGAATTCGTATCTTTGGTTTTCTGAATTACCGGGCTGAATAGCTCTCCTATTTTTGCTGTGTTTTCTTGTGGTTTTTTTTCCCCATAATCTTCCAGCTCAAGTTTCTAATGTTATAAAATCATCTGCTTTTTGCACACAAGTAATTAAACAGTGGGAAGTTTTGTTACATGTTAATGGAACATACTGGTCAGCACGGCTAATCAGGTTTTTATATCATGACGTGGGATACTGTGCAGTGCTCCATCTGGATAGAGGAACAGTCAGTGGTTTACGAGTTTGTTCACAGACAGCTGAGCGTACTTGATAAAAGACAGTTCTCGAATAGGTGCTGAGCAGTGAAGCTGCAGAACCTCGGCTACACTCAGTCACACGCACCCCTCACTAATATTGCAGAAGTAAAATTTTCCAGTTAACCTCCTTTGCAAACCATAGTGATTATGGGATGTTTCTCCTCTTCCTTATATAGAAAAACCGCTAAAAATAATAACCTGATCATTTACTTTGTTGCTCCTAACATGACTTCCTTCCTTCTTTCCAGGTTAAATGATCCCTTTTTGGAGACTGGTTTGTGCTGCCTGCAGGCTGTGCACTGGTTCTCTGCTTCGAATGCCTTACCACCAGCTTCCCTTTCCTTTTTTCTCGGTGGGTAAGTGCAAGGCTCTTACGCGCTTTGCCCTTTGAAAAATGTCATTGGAGTCATGGGGTGTGCTGAGAGATGGCCCCGAGTCACTTTCCATCTGTCTTGCTCTTAGATTGTATACCCACTGATTCTGCTTTCTGTTAGCTTGGCATATTCAGCGTTGCGGTAGACGTGACGTGTCCCATCAGGACCCATATGCATAATGCAAAAGATCTGATGCTCCTGAAAGGTCAGTCTGTGCCCCTGCGAGGCTCCCAGCCGCGTTCGCTGCAAGCCTTGGGATGGGGTTTCAGGGTGGGGTTGGTTGGTTTGTTTGCTGTTTTTAAGCCGGGTGCATGGGCTGACCTGGTAAATGCTGGTGTGGTGGGGAGAAGGGCAAAGTGAGAACTCCTTATGGAGGAGCTCTGTAGAACCACACTGCCTTCCCGCCACGGGGGTGGGTTTCCATCCATGCCTAAGGGGAGCAGGTAGAAAGCAAACTCTAAAAAAATAAGTGTGGGAAGATTTTTTTGGTTGTCTTTTTGTTGGTGGTTCTTTTGGCTTGTTTTTTTAAATCAAAACTTTAAATAAGAAATATCAAAATAAAAAAAAAAAAAAAAAAAAAAGGAGCGAGTTGTGTAGCGGACTCTGGTTTACTGGAGAACTGCATAAAGCATTTTTGTGGATCAAAACCGTCTGATCTTCCAGTCTGAAACCAGGGACAGGAACAGCAGCCCCCCCTTACTGAGAAGAAGACTGGAGCTGTGCCCAGCAAACCGCAGCCAGCAGTTACCTGTAGGTCATGCAAGGAGCCCGGAGCCCTGCGCTGCTGGAAGTGCTTTGCATCCCCCTCCCTTTCTGGGCCGAGAGATCCTGTCATCACTGTGTAATCCTCTTTAGGTGGAGCTGAGTGCCTTCCCTGGTAGCTGGCTCCTCTGAGGAGATGGAGGTCTTTCACACTTGGGAGTGCTTGTGTGCTCACTGCTGAGAGTCTGCGTCTTCCCTTGCCCTCTTTCCCCCAGCCACACGCCCGCATTACTGCATCAAGTTTTGATGTATGGCCGTATCCATTATTGTTCCTGCCTTCGTTTCTGTTCAAGCTACGTCAGCCTTTCCAGAAAGGCATAGTTTCCCCATCTGGTAATCAGCTGCAGAGATGCAATCGCAACTCCAGTCAACACTAACTCTGATTTGTGTTTAATATGAGACTTTTGAATAACATTTCAACCTCCAGTGATTTGGGACAGTATTTTTTGTTGTTTGGGTTGTATAATTGAGAGCTGGTGAGGGGGGCGTCCCTTATAAAAGGACAGGCTTTAAGTTGCTTACTCCAACTTATTTAATACAGAACCATAGTCCTTAGATGTGCTGACAGTAGAATTGTTTTTATAAAACCAATAAATCGGCATGCGTCCCACAAAGTTCCAGTACTGAGGGTATTTTTCATCCTGAAACAAATAGGAGTCGAAATCTGGGTTTGTGTTGAATTGGAAACTCAGGAAGACTTAAAAGCACAGGTTGTGAGGTGGTGTTCAGCTGGCTCCTTCGGAAGAGCTGTAGCACCTCAGGCGAGTTGTCATTTTATTCCTGCAACCTGCTGTCACCCTCCCAGCAATGCTGCCGGCTGTGAGCGTGTTTCCCACTGCGAAGTGCAGTGGGTGACCCAGGAAGGGGGCTGAGAAGCAGCACGGGCACATGCCCAAGAGGACAGGAACTCAGGTAAAATTCCTGGGGGTCATCAATCATCTGGAGTTAGGAGAGCCAACTAGTGTTGAAGGTGGCAAAACCAAAACTTCCCTGCTTGCACTGACAAATGAAGAAAATTTCCTTCCCTGGCCCAGAAATAGCTTTGGCTATTTTTTTTTCAGTTGAGAGACCAGAACAAATGGATGAATATCATGTAGAACATAAAGCACCTGTTCCCAAACTTGATCATGTTAGTGGAAAGAGAAGGCAGAAAAACTGCTGGTGGTGTTACACACTTCAAGTAAACAAAGTATTTAAAACAGTAGCAGTGCCCCCTCACATTTCCTGTGCTGTACCAAGTCAGTCTGTGTCTGTCCAACGGTGCTTACAGGTAGAGAGATAAATTGCTGCTGGAGAGTATTTTTGCTCTGTGTTTCAGCAGGTTGAGATGCCTGTCCCTGCGCACGCCTGCTGTCCCCAGACTCCGTGCGGAGGAGTGCTCAGTCCCCTCAAGCTCCTTTTGCAGCCTTCCACAACAAGGACCAATCCAGTCTGATGAGGAATGTGAGTGACAGTCTTGATTGTTAAAAGCTTTTTCTATTTAGCAAATAAGCTGTAAGTTCTTAAAAATCTAAACTTTATCCATGCTTCCTTGTTGTGGAGGAGAGAGAGAAGAGAAAATCCTAGTTTCAGCTGTCTCTGAGGACCTGAAGAAATCTGTTTTCTGGGACCCAGTTTGCTAGAAAGCTCTCAAATAAAAGGCAGGCACACAGTTCCTGAAGTGCTGTCAGTCTTGCAGCACGGCATGCTTGATCTCAGTTAGAATTTCCAGCCTGTTTTGGAATTTACCACTGTGGACTGGTGCCTTGAGGAACCCCAGAAATAGTATAGGCAGAATTTACACCCAGTGGATTTTGCAGTATGTGGCACTGGGGTCCAAAAGGGATTGCGGTATGTTTGAAATCCTCTGGCAAAGGGGCAGCTGGCAGAGTCCTGCAGGGCCTTATTTTCGGCTGTCTCAAGCCTTGAAAGGGGCCACAGAAGCTGATAGACCCATCCGTGTTCAGTAAATAACTGCTTTTGTCTGTGTTCTTAAATCAAGCCAAGTCCTTCAAACCTGCACTTCGTACTTTTAGCAAGTGAAAAACTGCACATTAACTGACAAAAAGTACTGGTAGATTTGTACACAGCTGGTTTTGTTTTGTTTTGTTTTATTTATGGCAATTTAGAGTTCTTTACCTTGGATTGGGAAGATAGCAAAGAAAGGAAGTTCATTAAATCCATCTTGGGGTGTTGTAAGATGCATCATCAAACAGTTCAGATGAAGAGGTTTGAAGGGGAGGGGGAACATTTGCTTTTGTTTTTAAGACTTCAGGATCACCTAAGTAACAGCATGTTTTGGCTCTTCGTTTAGAGCTGCAACGTCTTCAAAATGGGCAAAGAGCTCAGGTGAAAGCAAAGCACTCAGTTATGTGTTCTCTAGCATGAATTTTCAGAATATAGCCTTGTAAGTGATAACGAACTATATTTGGCACTTTTTTTAGCAAAGAAGTTTAACCAACTCTGTTTAAAAAAACACCCAAACTTTCTGATCCTACACGCACAACTCAGCGTGACAAAGATACCTTCTCTCTCCATAGCAATCTCACAGTCTCTACATTAATTTTACAGAAGAAAATATTTTGGAAATAAATCTTTATTGTAGTGAAAATCAGATACCATGATGTTCGTATGTATACACACACACACACAAAAAATTCACTGTAGAGACACTGAAATACCTCCCTCTCTGCGTAACCACCACTCGCCTCGGCGTGTGCACAGCAAATAGCAGAACAGCTTTAAAAGGTGCTGGACCCCAGCCGCCGCAGCTCCCAGGGCTGGGAACCCTGCGCCGGGATCGCAGGGCCCTGGTGCTGCCACGGGGGCGGGAGCTGGGGCTGGGCCCCAGCAAGCGGGCCAGCGGCTCCGGGAGCCCCTGGGCCACCCGGCAGAACGGTGCCTCTGTCTCCTGCCACCTGGTCACCACGGTATTTGGCAGCACCACGTCAGTCATTCCCTGCTGTCTTGCATCATTTGGGCTTACAGGGGTTAATGTAAGCATTTCTTGGACAGGCGTGTGGCTCTGATACCCGTTCCTGCCACCCAAGGCAAGAAGAAGCTACGCAAGCGATCCGGTGAGGCTCTCCCGCCCATCTAGAAGCATTGCACCGAAACGTGCGCCCGGGGAGCTAGGCTGCCTACAGCCCAGTAAGTGATTCTCACTCTTGCTTAACTCTAAAAAGTAGCAGGTGGCTGTTGGCACATGTGGGCCGAGAACTACAGACTTTGTAGAAATAACAAACAACTTGGCTTTGTCTGCTCACAGAAGGTAACATGAGGCTGAGTGCCCTGCCTACCCCTGACAGCTGTCCTAATGCCCCAAAGAAGAGACAGGGGCTGACTGAACAGAGCCTCAGCATGCAGTCAGAACTTTCTTCATTAACTGAAGATAAAACTCCGTTTCTGTACCTCCGAGGTCTCTACCTCAATTCAGCTATTTTAAAATGTTTCAGGCTGACTACTTCCGTTTAAGGAATTCTACAGTGACTTCTACTAAGCCAAGAATAATCTCTTGTTTTCCCTTCCCCGTAGGAAAGTGCTGCCATCTACCAAATACGCATGCACTTAAGTACCAGAGCCTGAGTCTGAAACAGAGCTCAGGGCAGGCTGTTGCCCAGTTCAGCAAAGAAAATTCAAATATTAGTTGGCTGAATTCAACACTGAGTAAACGCTAAATGTGTTTTTAAAAAGAACGGGCCCAAATGCCACTGTAGTATTTCATCATTAAACTATTCATCTTTCTATTTCAACAATCAAATCCATTATGTAAATAAGCTGGTAGAGAAATACACAACAAATAAATAATGTGTATTAACTTATAAACTAGCAAACAAATTGTCTACATACAAAAAAAAGTCAGTCACTTCAGCTTCGCTCAACGTTTGTGTAGAAGCCCTTTGTGCCGCTGCTTGTGTGTCTGCCAGGAACAGCTGGAGAATCAACCCTCCTGGCTTCAAACACGCTGCAGGGGGGCAGCGACAGGCAGGGGTGATGCTGAGTGTTTTGGGGAGAGCCTTCAGGAGGCCCGCAGTCACCCTGCCGTGGTCAGTTTTGCTAATGCCAGGTGACAAAATGTCCATCAGGCAGCTGTCCTGCAGAACAATTTTTCCAGCGAGGTTAGGTTTGTGTTTGTAACGGGAATGCCTTAAAATACTGCTAACCTATTTCTAGCACAGTAGTTCTCCCCTGCAAAGCATCTGCATGCAAACCAAATATTTGTTTCCACTAGTGCTTTATACCTGTGAAATCTCTACAGTAGCCTCCAGTGAGGGGATAGATGCCAGACAGGGATTTTAAATGTGCCTTTTATTTTGGTTGTGCATGTATCTTCTCTGACTTGAGGAGATCTTTTGCCTTGGTATAGAGATTTCCACTGTCTGTTTCAGAGTTAAAGAAACATGGACTTTCATAACCTCTGCCACTTCTGATCACCTCTTAAAAATTTCACAGAAAAGCCAGAAGTAATTGAGATAAACAGACATCTGTACATTTTAGCCATTCATTTAGAAAACATCTGTATCCATCCATGCAATGTTAAGACTATAAAGTAACTTTGCAGTTACATCTGAGCCCATTGCTATGGCAACATGGTAGTCTTTATCTCCCACATGCATTCTACTGATTTCTTTTTTTCTTAAAGCAGCTTCCTGAAATGAAAAACAGAGAAGCAATGATTAAGTTAGTCTCTTTCAAACACTGGATTCAAGACTTACGTGAGGCAGCCCTTACTACTTTCCAGCTGTGGAAAATTTAGACACTGATCCTTTTCAAGATGAAAAAATGAACTGACATGGAAAAATGTGAGCTGCTGTTATTTTCAATTAAAAAAAAGAAAAAGTAATATAGTTGATGATCTCGGAACTCAAGATTTTTGCTACTGTAGCTATTTTTAATAGGATCCCAAGGAGAATTGTACTACAGTCTTTCAAACTAACCTAGCTAGCTGTAACATGCTGCTTGCTACAGTGAGAGTACCGTCCATAAGAGTGTGTATGCTAATGATTAATTCCTTGATGGCCTTTGTTATGGTCAGCTTCCAGCAGAGCACCCAGCTCAGCTGGGTTCATTTTTTGGAATTGTAAGGTGTGTATTATGGTAGGTGCCCACCATACCAGACTAATGGTCCCTCGGGTTTTGGTCAGTTGCCAGGTCTTGAGAACTTAAGATAAACTGCCATGCTTTTAAATTTCTATTTTAAGTAGAACCCTAGGCCATAGTAACTGCACTAGGAGAGTGAAGAAGGTTCCATCTGTGCCTTCGAGGACCTAAACTGCTGGCAGTGCTTCTCTGACACCATTAACTTCAGGATTGCTCTTCACTGGTTTTAACATACCTCCTGGGGCTATCTACTTTTGACACTGACTATTTTAAGTACTTTAAAAGGGTTGAACCTCTTCAGAAAGCACGTTGAAATTTTAACCCCTAATGTCCCAGCATTTCTAGACGCTTCATGTGAAAAATATACTAATGTAGTAAAGGTCACATGAGAAAACATCAAAGGAGTTAGTTATGCAGGCAAGACATTTCACTCACATTTGGTGCTGCCTAACAAACTCTGCAAACTGCCGGTCTTTGGTGTAGAGCTCTATAATTCGAATTCTGTCCTGAATTTCCTAGAATACAAAAACCACAATTGTAAGTACATAATAGAAATTACAATACTACTGAAATAACTGATTTTTTGGAAAAAAAAAACTCCTATGCTTTGCTATTTTGAGGCATAGAGCTTGAAATTGGGCACTCCAATACTAAAATTCTTCTTTATGTTTTTGTCTTGTTTTTTCAAAGCACTTAATTGGAATCCAGTAATACTTTTAAATCAAACCCCGGGTTTGGACAGACTGTGGCATTTCAGCAGGCTTTAACAAAACCACTTTTCTCTCGTTGATACTTTGCCTACAAGCCCAGCTACAGGCTGGATTTACATCTCTCTCAGTTTCTTAAGGATCTGTCCTTAGCTCCTGGATGTAAATCCCTTCTCTTTAGCCTTATGGAGTAAACCCTGGATACAGGAGGAAAGGAGGAGGATGTGATCTAACTTGCATGTTATAGAAAGACCTGAGCTTTAAAAAAAGCAAGCAAGCAACCAACCAAAAAAAACCCCAAACTGTAAAAAGGCCTGGATGCACCGGCTTTTCACTGTATAACTACTCTTACATAAGGTAATTGCCATTAAAATCTAAAGGCTGTGTCAAGCAATATAGCAAGCGTCCCCGACTCCTGTGAACTTACTTGAGCAGTCAGCTCCTTTATAGCATGAAATTCATTGCGAGTCAGAACACAGCCAGCCCTATCTCTATACCTAATAGCAAGCAGGGAAAGAAATCCTTTCTCTCTTCTCTTAAGTAGCTGCAGCAGCCCTAGTTGGAATTTGTTTATCTAGGGCAAGGCCACCGAGGAAAGACCGGGCTGACCTCTCAGGGTACAGGTGTGGAATAAAGGTCTCGTCTACATGATCTTTTCCATGCCATTGTGAAAACAAGGTCATTTACCTCCTTAGTAAGCTCACTGTTTTCATAAATGTGCCTGATCTCTTCACTGCTGTAGTCTGTGGATGTCTCTACACTGGTAGAACTGTAGGACGTTAGCTGAGGGTACCGCCGGTAATAATGGCTGTAGCCAGTCGTATCACTTTCATACATGGGGTTGTATTTAACTGCGTTCTCAATGGACGAGAGGCTGTCACCCTGCCTGGGGGAGCAATAAACAAACTGTGAGCTTCGCTGCAGCCCGGAAGGGATTAAGGAGGCCTGGCATGTGGAGGCACCTGTGCCTCTTCTTGCTTGTCAACTGTGTGATGTAAGACTTAGGACAGAATTATCCTGATTGGAGCAGATGTGGTTTAAAATGTAAGATGGTGTCACTTACCCCTGTGAGTACTCAGTGTCACTTTTTGAGTACTGGTCTCGAAGTGTCCTGGCCAAGAAGAAGATGACAGCAGACGCCACAAGAAGGAATCCTGCCACAGAAGCAATTGCAATGCCCACCACCACTGGCTCAGACACGTATTCTTCACAGTGCTCTCCTCTGTACCACCAGTTCTCTCCCACACGACACCTGCAACAAAGAAATAGGGGAAATGAAACACCCACAGAAGCTTTAGTTCATATAAATGTATTCAGCTTCCTGTAATGATGTGCCCTCAGATAAGTCACCTCAGTAAATACCTTTGCATGTTCAAGCATCAACTTTCTTTTAGTATTATTACTATTAGTATGAACAGCCTTTTAGGTATAGAATTATAGAATGGGAAGGGACCTTGAAGACCATCCTGTTCCAACCCCCCTGCCATGGGCAGGGACACCTTCCCCCAGCCCAGGTTGCTCCCAGCCCCGTCCAACCCAGCCTTGAACCCTTCCAGGGAGGGGGCAGCCACAGCTGCTCTGGGCACCCTGTGCCAGTGCCTCACCACCCTCACAGGGAAGAATTTCTTCCTTATAACTAATAAAAATCTACCCTCTTTCAGTTTAAAACCATTACCCCTCATCCTATCTCACTCCACTCCCTGACAAAGAGTCCCTCCCCACCTTCCCTGTAGCCCCCTGTGAGCACTGGCAGGCCGCTATAAGGTCTCCCTGGAGCCTTCTCTTCTCCAGGCTGAACAACCGCAATTGTTGAATTGAGTGAAGATGGGTAAAATAATAAATGGATAATGCATTTGTGATGGAAAAGGCCTTTGGTTTTTGCAATTTAGGGTATCCTGTGATATGTTAAAACTGGAAGGTGTTTAGACTAAGTAAAAAGTTAGGTCTTGATTGAACCTTGGTACATAACATCTCAAACACTGTAAGGGTAGAAATCAGGTGTCTTGATTATATTGCAATGTAAATACAAATGAAGGTATGTTAAATAAGCAGAGTGCTTATAGCGTAGTGAACTCCACAATGGTTAAACAAAGGCATAAAATAAATTACTAGAAAGAAGTGTGCATCCAAGATTGTATCTTTGGAACGGTTGCCCAAACGAGCATTCAGCATTTCTGCCTCGCTGGGGTTTTGAACATGAGAACTGTAGTGTTAATACTGAATTTAAATATACCAGTGAAAATCCTATCTTTGCAGTATGTGTGTTTGGGAGTTCTTGCTATAAAAATTCAAGGAATTGTAAGGTACTGTGGCCACCCAAAACAGTGACCCGCATTACTACGAAACATGAGTAAATTAAGTCTTCTAACATCTGAAATAGTTTCTGAAACTAGTAAGCAATACTTTAAATTTTTCAAAAAGTTCTTAATAAATACTGGCCAGATCATGCTTGAAACAGATACTCGTCTGTTTCTAGTTAACGCTGTTATACAAATGATAAAATTTATACTACATCTGTGATAGTATCCATTTTTGTAGCTTCAAAAGTATTTTTATTTCTCCTGTTAACTGCTAGGACTCTAAGTTTGACTTCAGAGACATTCTAGGTAAGCTTTTTAAACCAAAAAAAAAAAACCCAACCCACACCTGAAGTAGCATAAATAACAGCTAGTAGTAGTCGTATTCTTTTTTTTGCAGTAAGTCTCCTACCTTTTGTTGACAAGTATATTTTGTTTTTAAAAATAGGCTGTTACATTGCTTGAAAAGGAAAAACTTAAGTGCAATGTCAGAGGGAGCATCAATTTGTCTCTATCTTGTACTAAGTCTTTTCTATTACCTGTAAAATATAGAAATCCTGTTCAAATGCATCTGTATGTTTTTTAAAGCAAAAATTTGAATCAGGGGCCCTGTGCCTTGATTTTTTTATGAACCACACAGGGTTTTTCCCAAATGACCAGTGATTTACTTTTATGACTTCTTTTTAACCAAGAGCACTTTTTAAAATACTTTTATGCTGTATGAATGTGCCTTTCAAATATAAATTTTTGTGATGGAATTAACGCTCTGACATTTTATGACCTTATCTAACGCTTTGCTATTTGAGAAAATCTCTGGAGATCAGTCACCTTCGTTGACCTTTGGGGACAGAATTTAACACCTGAGTATGTTCCATTAGTACCATTTCCCCTAGTTAGTTTTGTTTCCTGATGTTTCTATTCTATTCTATTAAAGAAATTTGTTACCATCTCATTTTGATATTTACAGAGGAAAACTGACAATATTGAGACTCCCACTCAGCAGCATAACGTGACTGATAATCATTGTCATCTCACTCGTTACACGTTGTCTTACAGAATACTGCACAAATCTTGTCCAGTGCCACAACAGAGGAGGAGATGACAGGGGGTTCTCACCCAGGAAGCCCATGCTTCACACAGCAGGGTGACCTACCTACAGATGGCCCCTTGCCCAGGGCTGATGTCGCACTTCCCGTCGTTGAGGCAAAAGTTTGGCTGCAGATCACAGATGCTACTGCACGGCAGCCCGTCGATGCTCAGGTACCCAGGGTTGCAGACGCACTCGGCTTCCCCACTCCAGCGATTTACTAAGCATTCTGAGAACTCATTGCAGGCCTGGAACTTGCAGGGATCTGCTTGCTCACCTGAGAATACACAGAGCAGAAGATAGTAACGATGGGGGCGAGCTTCCACTGAGGCGAAGCGCTGGCTGTCCGCTGCCATTTTCTGTGGTGGTCTCTTAGTTAAAATAATCCGCAAAAATCCAGCGTGTGTCTGTCCTGCGTAACAAAAGGTTCTGCTGAGGTGAGTAAGCACTAGGGAGTGTTCCACTGTCTGCACAGTGCATGTCGGTGCTATGGCTAAGACCACCCAACAAGCCAATCGAAAAAGCAAGTATAAAATGTTCTTTTTTCTTACTGGAACGTGCAGTACCTCAGATGTTCTCTTGTCTGCTGGAACTGTATTTTGCAAATGAGTAAAACACAGCTGATCTCCAGTATTTCTTGTTTCAGAAAACCTAGGCAGCATACAGGGGAGGGCAAGGAGACTTGGAGCACTCAGCACCTGCTGTGGGGTGATGTGCCTCTGCCTGCAAGGAACACAAGCTTGTCGCATTTGAGATCTCTCACTGGTATCAAGCTTGAGAGGGCTGGCATACAGTTAAGTGATCAATATCAGAAGATTTGTCATGCTAATTAGACCATCTTTAGAAGAGAGCTGCCTCAGAAGAACAGCTACCATTTGCCAACAGGTCAGCTGGGGTTTTTTCTGGTGTTTTTCTCTAACCTTTAATGGGAAATATTTCTGAGTTGCTTCTGTGCTAAACTACTGGCTAATCTGGACAGGGAAAAAACTTCCTCCCTGTATCAGAGGAGTGAACTAGGAGGGCCTGGAACTTTTTAGTGCTCCCAAGACCTCACCACAAGAGTGATGCAGCAGCTGTTACCTGTGCAGGTGCCCACCTGGTATCTAAAGAGGCCCCTGGCACCTGTGGGAGTGAGCACCCCCCCCCCCGTTCTCACCTCCCCCTCACTGCCCAGTGAAAGTGCAGTGGCATTACACAGAGTATTACATGAGCCACGTCAGGCCCCGTATTTCTATATAAGCCCTCTACAGTTTGCTCAGTCTGGGTCCCATTTTGATTTTCATCTCATGAGTCCCTTAACAGATTTGTATTTGTTTGAACTCTGTGAAAGACTGCCCAGCCTGTGAAAAGCAGGGGGCAGGCTCTGAGCTGCTGGGATCCTTAGTAAGTTCTTAAGCAGAAGTTGCTCTAAATCCCTTGCTCTAAACTGCATTTCCCTGCCCTCCTTACCCGATTCCACATCTAGGGAGTATTTATCGATGGCCAGGTTCATGGTGTGATATGCAGTGTTGCAGAAGTCTTCCAGGATCACGTACACAGCATTGGTGACGTTCCGAGGCACAGGTTTGGCAAATTTCATTCGACTGTTCACCACGATGCTGCCATTTCTGAAGTTCAGGATTTCCAAATTCTGGAAGCCTGTCAGATTTGACTGGAGGTAGGGCACCAGCTGCAACACAGGGGACGTGACAGAAAAGCTGAATCTTTGAATCTCTACTCAAGACAGTTGCGCTGTTATTGCATCAGACAGCAGGAGTCTGAATTATTTTATCCAAATCCCACAGCAAGGGCGTTAAAACTTTACCCAGTTGAGGCCCATGCTGGCAGCCTGTCAGGAGCCTGAGTACTTCAGGCAGTTCTTAAGAGTGTACCAATTCGCAGACAATTTTCAAAACCCCACGACTCAGTGGTACAATTCTCAGGACACGCGTGGTGTTCTCCCTTGATCTAAGCACCAGGCATTCTCGCCATTTCACAGGTATTTCCTTCAAGCCTGTCCCCCCTTCCCCCTCTCTCCTCTGCTCCCTTCGTCTCCCAAAACAAAATGTTCGTTTCAGTCAGGAGAGGGGAATTTCCCAGTTAAAATTTGGCAGTTGCTGTGGTGTAACTCCTGGGAGGCTTAGCTACCCACCAGTCAGTTTAGCAACAGGTTAGTTCCCTGAACTACCTCGAACTTAGGATGGATTGAGTGTGTTGCAGAAAGGTTACCTCATCACAGCCCAGATTTATTTACTTCTCTCTCCTGATAGACTAAATACAGAGCACTCTGGAGGTAAGTAAGGGGAGCGTTGTAGTGACTTCAGGGATACTGCTACATTTATTGACACTAGCAGAGCATTTGGCCCATAATGCTAAAAAGTTGCACTTTAGAGAGCCTGCTAACTGAATAGAAGACAAATGTTTAACACACCCCACCCGCCCCCATTTCCAGACAGAGTTTTTCCATGGAGGGACACAATACCTGTAAACACCAGACTTGAGTTGCTCTCTGCAAAAGAGAGCTGACAAACTTACTTACCAACAATTTTTGCCTACCTGGTACTGGACATTTAGCACAGAAGTGATTCTTACCAGTTCCAGGAATCGCTGCTCCAACGCTTTGTATTCAGGAGAGTTTTTATTAAACAGGTCCTCTGAAAACATCATGTTGGTGACCCGAAGACTGAAAAACACAACTAGAGCCCATGACGGGACAAGAGTATTACTGCGATTTTCATGTGTGGCCCAAGCCAGACTGGCCATCTCTGTGGACTGGACACGAGTTGTTAGCTCCACGTGACTTTCAGTCATGCTCCTTCCCTCCTCAGGCAGCTCAGGAGAGGAGTGGACAGTGCTCACACGATCCAGGTCCACTGAAACACCCAAGTCGCTCGTCGTTTCTTCTCCCACATTTGTTGAGGCAGCCACAGACGATGACGCCGTGGATCCCACAGGAGGGAGATGGGATGGAAGCTCAGCAGTGCTTGTTGTTGCACTCACTGTTACATAAGAGTTCATGACAGTGCTGAAGCTCATGGAAACATGTGTGTCGTGATCTGTACCCCCCTGACCAGCAAAGGCCTCTAGAACAGTGGTCTGATCCATTACAGAAGGAACTGCAGTTGAAACTTGAGTAGCAGTTGGCATTGCTGATTGCACTGTCTCATCTAATGAGTTACCTAGTACTCTGTCAGTGGGCCAACCATCAGCTGGTTTCATCACTGCTGATCCAGTAGTGTCTTGGCCTGCCAACGATGAATCTAGGGTTTGCTGCTCTTCTGTGGAAGCATCAGGGTACACCACGGAAGCATCAGGGTGCACCGTGGAAGGTTCTGCAGTCAGAATAGTTTCTGAAGAGCTTGTGTCCCAGTGGCCTATCATAGCATCTTCAGTTACACCTGGCTGCTCCACTGTGAATAGTTCTTCTACCATTGTCCTGTCTTCAGTTTGGTGGTCAACTGCTTCAGAAATGATGTTCTGACCTACACTGGACTCTGTGGGCTGCTCCATACTGATGGTCCCTGTAGATGTAAGGAGACTGCCTTCCACAGACAGACCTGTACTGTGTGGTGAGACAGGGATCTCTCCGGTTGGCATGTCTACAAAGGAATGGTCCACTGAAGGCTCTAAAACCAGTGATGGTTTAACAAATGAAGAATCATATGTGCTGAATATTTCTGTCTGTGTAGATGGCTCCACAGATGATGGCTCTTCTGTCTGTAACAGAGGTACCCGCTGAGTTGCAGTCTCTGGAAGGACAAATATTTCAGACTCATCGAGGAAATCTTCTTTTATATTGGCCATACCTTCATTCTCATCTTTGGAAGGATCATTATCTAATTTACTCTTAGAGTTAAGAATATAGTCTAAGACCATGCCTTCAGGAATGTCCTTAGTTCTGATTAACAAAGACTCATTGTCATCTTCAAGCCAGCCATCAGGACCAGGGTATAAAACTGGTTCGAGTGTTGCATCTTCCCAAGGCCAATTGCTTGATTCCGTTTCTTTTCCTGAACCATCAAAAGCTGAACCAGACCCATCATCATATATAACTCTATCTCCAAGATATATATGAGTTTCATCTTCCACGGGGTGTACTTCTAAGGGAAAAGGAATTTCTTCCACAGACTCATGCAACACAGAGTCTGCATCATTACTGCCTGCAGGACTACCCGGAGTTACTTCTTCCTTCTCAGCAGATGCTGTTTCTTTAATATCATTCTCTGTGACTGTTGAAGAGGCCACTGTTGGTGCAGAAAGCAGAGGAACTCCATAATCATCTGGAGCTGGAAGTTCTTCAGGCACGAGGTGAGGAGGACTTGAAGGCAAAAGGTTTTCAGATAGTTCATTATCTTCAAACACTAAAAATAAAAATAAATTTTCAATTAGTTGTTGCTTATGATAAAAAGTGTCAAATTACATTAATTATATTGTCTGTAGATCTGTATTCAGCATGTTTCCTGTAATATATCCTGGCCTCTAAATGCCAAAGTCAGAAGGACCCCTGCTGACCTCTCCCACTTTTCATTCAGATGTTCTATGGGCAGAGTCAAGATGTACAAAAATACTTCTGTGCGATTACAAAAGTATCATGTGTGTACCATTTCCTGAAGGGATAAGCAGGCAGTATTAGCCGTTACAAACATTCTACTTTAGCATATTGTTCTTGGATACATGCACACGTGAAAGGTTAAAAACTATCAGAGAAAAATAGTCAGTTTTTTAGATCTTTCTGAAAAGTCACCTTAGTGAACTATACCTTGGGTGAGTGTCAGGAAACACTGGCATCCAGATTTAAGCTTCAGTCAATGGCATTAACTTACCATCTAAGGAATTTGGGGCTGAAATCCATTCCAGAGAGTCCACGGAATCATGCCCTAACACTGGTGCAGTGACCAAATGAGGAGTCCAATTCCCATCCTCTAAATTCAGCCCATCGGGCAAAGAAGTGACATCAGCCTCTGAGAAGAGCAGAGCTTCGGCTGCCAAACTGGCCTCGGAGTCCAGATTTTCTGGTCTTGGCCGGATTCCATTGTCGTTGGACTGTTCACTATCTGAAGTAGAATCTGGTTTGGTGAAATCAAAGGGCAAGGTATTGCTGACAGTTGACTCATCTGCCGAAGGCCGTTCAGCTAAAAAGGTGCTGTCCTGGAACATAAACCCACTATTAATATTTCCACTATTACAGGGGAAGTACTGGCTGCCCACATTGGGCTGAACACATAGAGGGCGTTTACAGCAGCCAACACCAAAATCTGGTACTGCTGCCTCTGTGAGAAGGTAACGCACGGCAGCAGGAGGGGCCACGCTGGGAGGACTGGCAAATATACACCCTTTGCTAATTATGGGCACTGTACGTGTAAAATGGATAGCCTTGTGACATACATTTCATGTACAGTCATGTCCACTAAAAAGCGGAAGAAGCTGTTCAGGTGGGTTGCTGCTTCACTTATGGTATTAAGAGATTTACCATTTATACCCACCCAATCTCCTTCCCTTTGCTGAAAAAAAAGCATCTCTCCATTTCTGCTTAAATCAAAGATGAACGAGCACAGTACTGCCTGCCTTCCTAAAGAATGAAGAGGTCTTAGCTGTTATTCCTCAGCTACATAATCATTACAGTTATTATAATATTACTGTGTTATGTAGAACAGTTTAGAAACTGAACGCATGCATGCCCTATGGTCATTTATTGCTACCTTTTGGTATGTGGGTATGAGAACCCAAGAGGGAAACAAAGACCATGATGTAAAGAAGAGTGTTTAGAACCAGGAATAACTTTAGTCTCAAAGCCAAGATGCCTGTGCAGGGAAAAAAAAAAAAAAAAGAAAAAGAAAATCTATCAGCAGTAATGATGAACAACAAACAGCATGCACGATGAATTTGCAAACTGTTTGAAATATGAAAAATGAATTTGTTCTTAAATCTCCAATTTGCATACCATTTACTTACTACTCCATACCTCAATCATCATTTGGTTTACAGTTAGGGTACTTAGCACATTTCATCTTTGAATAGTAATCTACTACCACTGTGTCACATGAGGTAATTATATGGGAAAAACCAATTAAGAGATTAAGTTATTTGGTCAAGGCTACAAAAGCAAGCAGGCTGCCCAAACCCCAGAAATTAGCGCTCTCACATGGGTACCTGCCCACACATCAGTGCTGTGCAATGGTCTGATACGGACAAAAAAAAACCCTTGGGGTATGAAAAGCTGCCAGACAATTTCAAGAAGCATCAATTCACTAAGAACTAACCAATTGCTGATGGTGACTTGTAAAGTTAAGTGGGCAGTGGACACAGGTTTCTGTAATACATCGTACAGTTCAAAACCATTTAACCATTTCTGTAGCTCACCACTCCTGTCTCATCTATTCCTTTTACTTGACCAGCATGAATAAGAGGAAGATTCCAAATACTTTTCGATTTGAACTTTTACTCCTGGTTGAAATGTGAGTAAATTAAATTTTCAATTTCATTCAAATGGCATTTGAACACTTTAGAAACAAGCCAGGTAAGGTATTTTTATTAATTTATTTGTCTGTCTGTATTAATCATATTTTTATAGGCAGTTGTTATTCCGCCACAGACTCCTCATATTTTTTAGTTTATATGGTAGCAATCAGTTGAAAAGTATATATACCATATAGACATGTGTTCCAGCAATTACCTTTTTTGGCAAAATTGACCACTATAAATAAAGCTGAAAAAGAAAAAAGTTACTGTGCAAGATTAGAAATGAATTACATATATAAATTCCATGAAGAATGAATAAGGACTACCAGCAATAGCTTCTCAATACTTTTTTTTTTTTTTTTTTTTTTAATGTGAGCATTTAGTTGCCAGGGATTACACTTCATCATTTATTTGAATGTGGATAGATGTTCCTATGACAACTAATATTATTCAAAGATTCTTGTTACAGTGCAATATATTATATTAACAAGTTTAATATCATATTGGCAAGTTCTGGTTTTCGCTAATGTCTTTTGAAAGCCTTACAAATATGACAGATCACTGCAAACACAGAACCTCCTCCCTGATTTTCCATTTTCTGCTGCCAGAAAGGCATTGTATTCAGCAAGCCAGAGCATTCTACCTGTTACAACTCAAGAGAAATAACAAGAAAATACAGATTTCAAAAACTAGACTTGATTTCGTTTCTTCACTTAAGAGAGCTGTAAAACTCAAAGAAAAGAATGACTGATTAGTTGGTACCATCTGCTAGCAATTAGATGGTGAAGTCAGGATAGTCCCACATTATGTCATGAGTACGTATGATAACACAATTCCAATTTATTTTCAAATCAGCTAAGAAAAACAATAGCAAAATTATTTTTCATAGGTAATAGTTCTACTTAACAGTATCTACTTGAACCATAAAGCTTTGACATCTGTGGAAGTAACTGACTTGTTTCAGACTTGTTTACTGTCTAAGCACATTTATGGTTTTCTGAAGTTTATCTGACGTTACTTCCCAAATTATCTGTGTATTGCAGACTCTACACAGCTGTTTTTCAGATATACTCAATATCCTCTACATAATCAGAGTTTTTGACAGAAGACATAGATGACATTATTCATAGTCCATGATTAGAAAAACGTAACTTCCTGAATTTTTTCTTGTACATACTATTCCCTAAAACTGGTTTAATATTTATTATTGCAAAGCTACCTCTACTCTAAAATCTTCTTGCCTGCACATCTGTCAGAGTATCCACAGATAGAATGTAAAGAAGGCAGAATTCTTTGTCTTACTAAAATAAACATCTGCAACATTTTAATCTAGCTAGATAGGTCTAATAAAGAGAAAGCCCTTTACTGAAAGTCAACTTAAACTCCTGTTTATGCACGCTATGTTTAAGGCATTTATGGCAAATCCATATAAATTTGCATTTTAGACATCAATGATTAGTTTTTAAAACTCAGGGAAAACTGGCATGAAATTAAGGATGTTATACCTGCGACCGTTCTGACAAGAATATTTGGGTTCTGTGCTTCCATTGAAGCTATTTTGCTTCCATAAAGATTTCAGACGTTGGCCTGAAATTAAACGTGTCTGTGTTTACGACATCATCTCATAATTAACCTAGCAAAAACCTACCGTCAAGCATAGGTGGACATGAATTCTGTGGCATGAACTAAGCTCATTTCTTCTTGGAAGGCACATCCATGTTTCACATGAGACTGCAGAGCAGAAACCTACAGGATAAATCCTTAAACCTAGACAATGCTCCACCACTCAGAAATTGTAGCTATTGGCAGAACTGATTTAATCTCAGTGCTGCTGGCACCTAACTTGGTATCTCTGCTCAAAGCCCCTTTGCATTGTACAGACATGGTCAGGGATACCAAGTCTCCTGTCCAAGGGGGAACTTCAGTCTATGTCCTGGGTTGTTCCAGAGGTAATCAGAGGAGATAATTACAATTTCAAGAGGAAAAAAAAATAGAAACCACTGCCTATTATTTTTCTGTGTTTCCTTTGCTGGCATTAAGGGGATGGACATACTTTTAAAACTGAACTGAGAACTTCCAGTGAAAGCAATACAGTAACAAAAGGAGCCCATGAAACTTACCATTTTAGCTCTTCTAGCAGCCAGTTTTAGTGCTTACATCTATTTCTGGCTTTCCAAAGAAAGGTAGTTTTGTGGGAAGAATCATGTCTTTAGAGCAATTTACAGTCTAAGCATTATGGGAAAACCAGTCAGAGTTCCTGTACAGCCAGGAACACAGTACTGCCATGTAATAAAGATGATCACAGAAAATGGTTGTGCAACAGATCTCAAATTATCAGATGTGAGATTTCACCAGAGGTTTTCCTCCAGTTTGAGGTGTGCCTTCATTTCTACTTATCCTGCATGAACAAGAGGATAGAGATGCTCTGGGTGCTGGCTGCGATTCTGCCTTGCTGAGTTAAGATGTTCAAAAGCATCCAAAGGCCACTGCTCAGAACCATACTCACATCAAACTCTGGGTGCTGCAGCACAACTGGATGCTCAGTAATCCAGGATGGGTCTTCTGGTGTAAGGTGCAGTATTTCTTTCACTGTGGAAATATAAATACTTGGGATCTAAAGGCTGCAGTAGCAGTGTGAGGAAGTCGTTTTGGAAGGCTGACTGAAAAACCCTCCATCAACCTTGGATTTGTGAGCAAAATCTTTACAAAGAGTTTACCAGAGATTTCGTTTCTGGAAATGCCCCCAGACCACTGACGGGAAGTACAGAGGAAAGATGAGAACAGAGGGGTGAACAGCACTCCTCTGCCACCTCTAGCAGCATCGTTGAATATTCAGCAATAAACCAGGTATTTCCATTGTGATGCTCAAGGCCAACACAGGCATACTAAGCTGAAGGTCATCTTGGTGCAACATGCCTCATGTGAACCACGCTCCCCCCTTCTATTCCTGTTAATTTTTGGAAGCGTTACTGAAATTGCACACCACAAACCTCAGTGTCAGAGGAAAAAAGAGGCTAATCTAATGGATTAAGAATGGGATACTATGGCTAAAGACCTGGCCTGGTTAAAATCAAAGCAAAACAACCTACACCACAGTTGGTTTGGTTGTTTCTTTTTAATTATTCAGAGGGCAGCTGAATAATTCACTCATCTGAGATTTATTTTATAAAACTTTAGATGTGTGGACCACTGATGCATCATAATTAATACTCACCATCAGTAAATTGGAGAGAGTTAAAGTCTAAAGTCAAGGAATTGTTTTCAAGCAGGGCATTTTTCTGGAGGATTTCAGCAATATAATCTCGGAAATCACTGATGGTGTAGACAGCTGTTGGATTATCCTCTATGCCCATAAAGGAGTTGTCCTCCACCTTGTTGGAATGAAGGTTAATCAGGTCCCAGGTGGCATTGCTGATGGCTTTTCCATCAAATGTGACAGCACAGTGAACTTCCACCCCACTTCAGTTGTACAAAGAGAAAGAGAACACAGATGAGAGATGCAAGGTTTCCTGATGTATAGCAAACACTGTGATATCCTTTTCCCAAGAACCTGTGTCAATACTCCTTTTAAATATAAAAATATATTGCTTTCAGAGTTTCTAAATCAAACCAATTTAATCCTTTTCACACCCGTGTCTGCCTGCCTGTGCTTTCCACTTATGCAAAGTTCTCAAGAAAAAGGCTACCAGAACCTGGCATCTGGTCGGGTCCCAGCCCTGTATTTCTACTAGCGAATGGGAGACAGACCACAAGCAGACCAAACCGTTGGCTTTCTGCCGTCATTATTAATGGGCCCACCGGCATACAGCGGTGTGAGTGATGACTTTAAGACATGCCAATGATGGGAATGGCTCCGAGGTACGAAAACAGCCAGGAGAAACAGGCTGGCTGTAATAGCAATCTGCAGTAGCAGCAGGGAGCCCTGATCACTGTCACTGTGCAGTGTCAATCTGCTTGAAATAATGTCTTTAATAGAAAGGAAATGGTATTTAATACATCTTAAAATTCTGAACATTTTTCTAGACTCATTTGATCATTATTCTTTAAGTTCTATATCTGTGTATAGCTTAGCTTTTTCCATATTAACTCTTCCCCCCTTTTCTTAATTTTCTTTTCTTGAATACGTCTGCATGTCCTTTCCCACCTGACAGCGTAGGCAGCAATCAGATTTACCATACACTGGGCATACAAACAAGGGAGCTTTAGAAAAATATGTTTTGGCTGTACACTGGGCACAGCAAGAAAATGAAGTAATCTATGAAGTGTTAGAAGAATGTGCTCCAAAGACAGGTTTTCCTCATTCCACAGAGCTGGCCTGGGTTACCGAAGTAATGGCTTTGTTCGGAGAAGTCTCTAAAGCCCCAGCACCAGATAGTACAGAGACACAATCAGCAAACACACTGACTAAAAGTAGGAGCCTGCTGGAGTTTTGCTGCTGGCTCTATCATTGAAATGAGCCCACCACAGGCTCACCGTGGGCACTGACTGTCAGCAGAGGAAATAAAAAAGGACAGCGGTAGTGAAAAGGCACAGCAAAGATGGAATACAGTATGCTCCTCAAGCGTAGCATTTAGATTTAATACAACTGTGCTGTCAGTTACAGTTAATAATTCCTAACCAATAACTACAACACCATCATCTGTCTGGAAAGGGCTAAAACATCTGGTGCTTGGAAGATAGCCTTTGTGAATAGTTGCATGCATCTTAGCCTGCAGAACTGCAGAGTAGTAGAGGGTGGCTTTAAGTCACTGTTGTTTGTGAAGAGATTTTTGTTTTCTAGCCATTCTTCTAAAATTAAAGTGCTTATTCTCTGTAAAACTGTTTGTGTAAACTGGTTATGCATTTGCTGAGAAAGACATAAAAGAAAATAATACATCGATTAAGTTAAAGGCTGTAGTTAATTTTCTGTCTTGTGAAATTCTTAAAAAACAAAAGGAGGAAAATTTTGGATGCTTAACCTGCATGTGTCTGACGAAAAACAAGTCCAAACTGATCCCATCATCTGCTAAGGAACTTTTATAAAACTATAGCTAAGATGTGCAGCACCTCTGGCCTTGAAGTAGCTAAGCCAACTACCGTTGCTGAAGAACTGTGGTTTTCTTACCTGTTTTAATTTCTATAATAATCAACATCCCGTATCTATTCAAGACTTTGCTGCGAAGTATAAAGACCCTGAGTCATCATTAAGCAATTTTGTTTTCTCCACAAAAGAGACTCCTATACACAGGTTAGCCCAGTAGCTGACTTGTGTTTAGGAAGATTTTCCCCAAGTCGATTTTTATGATTAGGACTTCAATAAGCAAATTAGGTTAATCCATAATCAAAACAGATCAGTTACTTGCAGTTTCTGGTAAGACACCACCCCCCCCCCCTCATAATATTTATGCTGGATAACTATCTCGCTCTGGAGCCAGAACTACAAATCCCCAAACCAGTGTCCTCCAGCTAAACATGTTTTTCCATCTGTATTATGTCAGTATCTATAAAAAAAGTTCTCTTTTACCTGTCCTCCTCAGGAGAGCTGAATACAGAAACAAAGCAAAACACAACAGCAAAACCTGTTAAATCAATTTTATCATTTTCTTTAATTTGTTTCGGTATTCTACAGGGCACACAGATTTGAAGAAGCATACAGCAAAATAGTTTTACGTTGCATAGTTATTCTGCTACATAACAAACTGTTCTGCTTTTACTGAACTGGTATTTCCTATTGGTCACAAGGAATCAGCAGAGCAGAGCCATCTCACTGTATTGCAAATAATGCAGCTAACTTGCTGTCAGTACCAAGAAAATCAAGGCTCACTAATTCTACCTAAAACTCTAGCTGACAATTTTTTTTGTCATGCACAGCAGAGCACAGAGCTCTTTGCCAGAAGTACCAACCTTTTACGTGCCTTCTCAAATGAACCAATAGCTTCCAAATGTATTAGGCTGCAGATACCAAGGTGGAAGGTTTTGCTGCCTTCCAGGCTGGAAACTGAACATGGTGTAGGATTCCAACCATAAAACCGTTCTCACTATAGCTGCTTTGTTACCTGCATATATTCTAGCTAGAATATTCCAGCCAATAAATTCTAAGAAACACAGTTTACAAAGTCTCAAAGAAAACACAATTTAGCTTAACTCATGAACAGTCTCGTTAGATCCTGAAAATTATATCCAGTCCACTCAAGAAAAATAATAATTTGTAATCCATGTACCCAAAACTCAGATGTCAGATGTTTGATGGGTAATATGCAGGATCCCCTTTTTCCCAAAAATATCTTAGAACACCATTCTGAATGACAAATTGATTTGAGGAAACTAGTCTTTAAAAAAAGTATTTATAATTTATAAGAGAGTTAAAACATTGCATATCATTTATCAAACTATTCACCCACCTTTGCTGTGATTAAAGGGAGAAAGACCTTTACGTATCCCAAACACCAACCTTTAGAGTTATCCTAAATTAACACTAAGAAGTTGACAAAAAATTTAAGTACACCACATTTTTCCAAAAAGGTTTCTGTGTTGTTCCTTGTTTAATTCTAGGACATGTCAACAGTACTAAGAAGTATCAGCTAATAATTTTAAATTAGAAAATCTCTCTCTTAAAATTAAGATAGAATCTTGAATAAGAATGCCTTGTCTTAAAATCAAGGCAAGCATATCATGTGAGATTCTCTGGTGGATGCCAGGAGCAAAAAAGAGATGATTACGTTTCCATACCGTTCTGTATTTCTATTTCAACCTCTGTACATAGAGGTACCAAATATGAAAGCACTTGTCTTTTGGTTAGTACATCCTAGGAACTCCCATGCACATTCCCGACATTCTTCCAAGTGTGGTGCCAGCACATCACACCATCATACATGATAAGTTTCAGTCACCACATATGCATCAGTATCTTCTTACCTGTAATCCAGCACATGGATGCTTTTGTATCCCGGTAGTCCTTCAAATACACTTTCAATCTATTTTGAGGGGAAAACAAAAAATTAACACAGATTTACTCCACCCTACTCATTTAATGAAAAATCAGAAAGTACTGTCAACATTTTCTAAAATGGTATCTAAGCTGTTACATCTAATAGAAAGAACAGTTGAATATTCTCTCTTTTTATGAAAGAGCTTTTGTGGCACTGTTTTATTATTAGAAAAGGAAAAGTATGAAGAATAGCATCCAGCATCCCCCAAGAACTGTATAGAAACATTCAAAGGGGGGGAAATTCAAAGACTCTGCTGCAGAGATCTGCAGTGCCCATAGCAGACTACGTTCTTTCTCTTATTTATGCAGTGTAAACCCTTCTCTGCCCAAAAGGTTTCCATTACCTCACAAACTTTTCTGGATTAAAAAGAATTCAGGAAAATGCTTTGGACCTTATTAACTTAAACAAGAGGGGCAGCAACCGCCACAGGCACAGGGACCTGTTGGACTCCTAAGTGGCACTAATGCATTACATAGTGTAAAACATGGCTCATCTCCACTGCCCTGAACGTGCAAAGGGCTCAGGAGTGATTGGAAGTGCTGCTCAAAAAAGACAACTGAGGGCAGCAAAATGGCAGCACATCCAGGTCTAATTCAACAGTCAACCGTGTTACACGAGACAAAAACCAGAAATAGAATATTGAAAGTTCATGCCGTTTTTGTTTTTTTTTTCTCCCAAAAGATCCTTGCCAGTTGAGGATTATTTTTTACTCCTCAAATTCTTCTTCCCCTCCCCAATCTCCCTATTTTTAAACTGTCTCTGGTGAGACTTAAACAATCAAAGTACTGCAGACTTGCTCTTTTTTCAAGAGCTTCTTTATCCAAGCACAGAGAAAACCAGGCAAGGGATCAAAGGAGTGGAACATCTACGCGCCAGGTGGACCCTGTCCCATCTGACATTTCTTCCACACACACACACACTATGGCATTGCTACTTGGCCACACAACTAGGAAAATTAAGATGTCTAGCCTATGCTAGCAACTTGTGACAGTTGTGGTGATGCTTTCTGGCTGCAGTGAAGAGTACATCTCTTTCCCATCTGGCCCAGGGTCTGGCCCAGGGTTAGCCCCAGTGAAAGGGATTCAGAGAACCCCAACTAAATGGGATTAAGGAGGAAGCAAAGCTAGAGGAAAGATAAGCCTCATGATATGCTGCTGTGTGGCACCCCAGATGCCTCTCCCAAGAGAAAGGAAGACAAACTCTCTGCCCCAAGAAAATGATGGCAATAAAGTTACCATCATTATAGACAAAACAGAAAAAAGTATTGTAAACAACAGGTAGAGGAAAGTTAGGAGACAGCAGTGTGATCGTATTTCAAATATGTATTTGTATTTTGGTGGGCCAGTAACTTTATTTGTAGCATACAAATTAAAACATTCAATTTTAATTAAAATGAAATTAACTTGAAATCGAGTTTTAATAAATAATGCATATATGTGTACATGTATCTATATGTTTATACACACATGTATTTTTCCTTCGAAGAAGGTGCACAGCAGTCTAAACCATGGTTCGTTCCCACTGACTCCAATGGGATTTACACACGTGTTTAAGAACTGGCTGGAGGGTTTCAAAATGTGCTCACATACACTGCTGATTCTAGGCATAAATGAGGAGCAAAAGTTGTCTTGGCAGCCTGGATTTCAGAGAGTATCTCACTGCAGTGCACAACGATTCATTCAAAGAAATGTCGCTCCTGAGCTGAAATAATGACTGAGCTCTGCTGTCTGCCACTTTTTTCCCCCATCTATCACCTACTCTGTACAGACAGATTCTCTAGACTGATGCCAGAGTTTCTTCTACAGTCCAAAACCTGGACACCGTGTCAATGTTAAGATATTCTATATCCCGTTTCACTGCTCAGCCCCTTCAGAAGATGGACCTGTACGCCTTCTGCCTGCACTCCGCGTCAGCACTGTGCCATACCTGAATTGCTGGAGCTGCTTTCCAGCACTGCCTCAGCACTGGCTGATGGCTCTGAACCGCAGTCGATTCGTGCCCTGCCAGCTGAGAGTGTGGGCAGCCTGGTTTGCTAATTCCTTCAAATTATCTTCCTCACTCCCCAGTTTCAAACCAGCTACATTACAGAAGAATTCAAACTGGACAACGAGATTAGAAAGCACCAAAATAAACTCTAGGCCGATTGGTCACTAGGGAGATGTTAAATTTATCTTTAAAATTGAAGATTTTCAAGTTCTAAAAGTCTAAGAACTAATGAAGTTGCATCAAGAGGCAAACGAGAATCATGTCACTTCTCTGAGAGTTTAAAAGCTCTACTGCAGTAAGGCAGACAGGGAGAGGTACCGAAAAATTCTGACAGGATGGTAAGGCCAAAGTCAGACCTGGTAGAAATAGGTCTTTAAAAGGACTAAAATAAGTGGAAATGTTTTTCATTTATTAATAACATCTGGCTTAGTTTCTTTTGCTAACATGGGGCAAAGCAAATCAAGGAAATCAGAAAGCGGGGTGGGGCGGGGCAGGGGGAGAGAGCGAGCTGTCCATCAGAAAGGTTCCATTTAGATTATGTCCCCATTCAGGGGTTCAGCATCATTTTCTATTCCTCCCAAAAGCATACTTTTACCTCTTCTTCCTGCAAAAATGATTGCAGGCTATTTCATGAGCAACACAGAAAGAAAACTAGAGTGATTGGTCTTTGGCAACTGGTATGCTACCCACAATCAAGGTATGGCACTCCTCAGCTTCAGAAAGGCAGCATGTCAGACAGAATGGTGTATTCTCACAGCGGGTGAGTATTTTCCAGCCTGCCTCAGGCAGCAAAATCCCTAAGCTGGTTCTGCAGATCCCAGGAGAAAAAGGCAGCCCTAACACAAGTGCCATGTGCTACTATTGCTTTGCAGAGCCAGCAAAAAGAAAAAGGAAGTCCAGGAAGGTAATCACCTGAGGAATGAATTGTGCAGAGAGCAGCTGATGCTTCACAGCAGCTGGGTCGCTCAGTTCCTCACTGTACTTTTCACCAGCAATCAAAATGCGGAACTCGATCATCTGCTCAGTTACAGGTCTCACTAGCTTCTCATCCTCCTTCTTTATCTCATTATTGATCTGGAAGGCGAAGAAGAAGGGAGAAAACAAGAGGTGATTTAATGCCTTTTGTTGTTGTTTTGCCCTCTGTTTTTTTTTTTTCCAATTAAAAAAATCCTCGTTACTCACCACAGATCAGATTCCCTATCCTGGATTTTCTCCATGTTAAAAGCATCCCTAGGTATGTATGTACATATGGTCTGCCATCTGTCAACAGCACACTACATTCCTAAGCTTGGATCCAAACATCTGTCTTATATGGGCCAGAAACTGCTCCAGCTGCTGCAAACCTGGATGTTTCTCTGGCTTGTGATGGGGCAGAAAACCTGAGCCTTCTCCATAAATGCAGTACGGACAGGAACACATCAGGGCATTATTGGTGGGCCACACTGCCGGTCACGGATATACTTAGTGGCGTGTGAAAACTGCAGTCCAAAGCACAGCATGCTTACTTGAGCCATCAGCATACCCGTTTGCCTTGCACTACAATGGAGTTCTCATGAAGCCTCTAGGGACAGAGGTGGCAATTAATGAGGCAATCTGCTGAGCAAGAATATTTTTTTTGAGAATTCCTGTATTGCAGATAATTCTATTTTCCATTTGCACATCTTTACTCTAGTACAAGGCCGTCTAGCTGACCTCAGCTACAAAGGGAAATTGTGTGGGACGTTCACAAGGCAATTTAAAGTGCAACTATGGCTACACGAACAGCTCACTTGAGCCCAGTCAGCAGTAGGGTGATTCACCCCAAATTTACTAATTTTTCACAAGGCTCCTATTTACTATCCCACCTGGACAAGTTACCTTTGCCAAGTTCTACATTCAGAACACTCCCCTGTTTTGTTCAGCCTCAGTAAGTGGAGGATGCCCCTGGATATACCAGGGGGATCTTCAGGGTCCTCTGCTGAGCTAAAGGAGTGGGCTTCAGCTGGTAGGTCTGCACTACAGTTGCCCAAGAAGCCTCGCGGCAGTGGCTGTGCAATGCATCAGGGAAGTGTGTAGCTATCATGGTGACCACGGGCTGCAGCGAATTCCAAGTTTTAATCTAATTTGAATGACTGAGCAACACGGGAAGAACACTTTCTGCTTAGTTCCCTAGTATTTTACAACCAGCATACTATTCCTCATGGTACACTGAAAGACCAGATCATGTTTCAGGGTTTTGTTCTAAAACAAAAAACTGAGATTTGTGGGGGAGGGAAGGCTGGGTTAAGTTACCTTTAGCCAACTAGCCAAATGTCTTTGACTATTTACATGCAGTTGTTGCTTTCTCCCCATTAAAAAGGAAAAAAGAGAGCCAACAAAACAGACCTTTTCAGCAAAACTGCAGCCTGTGCTATGTATGGTGCAGGAAATGGAAAACCCTTTTTCCAGAATGTTTAGCTGCCACCAGCGAGCATTACACAAACTTATACATTGTTTAGGGACCCTCTAAAATTTTTTTAGTTAAATACTCTTCCCCCCCCTTATCCCATTTTTACTAGCTAACTTTGTTAAGGACTATAATGACTGGTACACTACTTAAAGGTAGTTAGCATTTAAGATACACATACTTAGCAGGCGTGTGTATGCTGCTGCTATATGGATGTTTGCAACACCACTTAGTTTCAATCATTTATCAGCCCCCCAAAACTAAGAGTGCAGAAGATGAGCTTTGCTCACTCTTAGTCCCGTAATGCGCAATGCATTTTGGCTGCACAGAGCAATGATGAGGTGTGATGTAACCGTACAGAGTGAAAACACTGTAGCAGGAGCAATCTCACTTTGGTTTCTTTCTGATTTACTGAAAGGACCTATTCTCTGCTCAGGCATAATACTTAAGGCAGTTTTGTTTCAAAAAAGAATAATGGTGTACATGGGACCAAAGCACAAGTGTTCCTGGTATGTAACATCAAGCCAGACCCTGGACTTGAGTCAGAAGCTGTCTGCCTATTTCATATTCAGTATTTATTCTTGGAAGCGCAATATCAGAGCTCCACAGTCAGCCCTGAAAGCTCTAGAAGAGAGTACAGTTTGGCCCAGCTTTGTTGCACAGCCACACTAGGTTACAGAACAGTGCACAGTTAAACCCAGTACCATAAATCAGCTTCTACTTATATGCAGCATGTACAACTCTGACAGCTTCTCAGTAAATCAGCTGAGAGTTTCATTTATAAGAAAACAAAAGCCAGCTAATTCATAGCACTGGTTTGCAAAATTTCCTTCAGTCGTGTAGGCCCATGAATACTGCAGATGGATTCTGCCCTGGGTTTGAGTGAGTGGTGGGGTTTTTTAGTAGCAGGGGAGGGTGCTCTAGGGGTGGCCCCCTGTGAGTGTGGCTGCGTGGTGTTTGGCTGCCGACCATGCTCAAACCACGACAGATTCAAGAGTTTGGGCTTAAATTTTAATCCAGAGGAGCTGCTTCCTGGAAGCAAATACTTCCCTGGGACCTACGTGGTGGTCAGCAATTCTGAAAGCCAGCTCACAGAGACATTTTAAGTACTTGAGTGGTAGGCTTCCCTGTGTCGGAAGTTTTGCTTAAATATCATGGTAAGGGTGACTGTAAGATGATAAAGAAAAGTGCATCTATGTCGGCAGAGGAAAAGGAGCAGAGGATCAGAAGGAATCTTCAAGGCTATCCAGGCCACCTCTCTGCTGTCCTACGCAACTGTACCACGTGGACCCCTGAAACACCACTACAGAAATTTAAGGTGTCTTGTGTTTCCATAGAAATAATAATGCTCCACATTCTTATCGGGGCTCTCAGGAGCCCTTGGCGTTCCCTGTCTAGTCCTATGTCACTACCAAAATCCTCACCTGACAGCTCAGCTGATCTGTTCTCTCTCACTGTCAGGGAAGTGGCATTGCAAAGCCTCTGCAAATGCAGACACACCTACCCAGGAAATGATTTTAAAACTTTATAAATTTCATGCCCTGTTTTTATGAAATCTTAATTTGTGTTAACACACTATGCTAACACCACCTTCAAGTACTAGGAAATGTAAATGACCACAAACAATATTATTCATGAAAGGCAACAGAATGCTGAACCAAATGAAAAAAACCACTCACAGTAATGTCTGCATCTTCAATCTCATGGACACTACCATGCACAGGACTCTCAATGGAGATCTCATGAGGGGGAGGAACAATGGCAGCTGCATCTGAGTTTAAAAGAGAGCAGTATTATTTGGGGGGTTTTTTGGTTTGGTTTTGTTTTTTTGTTTTTTGGTTTTTTTTTTAATACGCATGTACATGTAAATAGACACAGAAGCAGTTCAGCAAGCATAAACCAATGGCAAAATTTGATTCCTGTTCCCATCATCATGACAGAAACAACACAGGAAAAACACCTGAAGAGCCTGAGGAAAAGTACAAAATACGCTAATCAGAATAAAATCCTAATGCTCTGTCTAAGCAGATGTATTTGGGGGAACATGAAGTTAAGTGCAGTAAAAAGTGCACAGACCCAGTTTCTCTACCAGGATTTTCATGTTTCATATAATAACAAAATAATGTCAGCATATGACATGATCTCCAGATCACAAACAGCATTATTCAAGATGGAAAAGTTCACAGTTCGTTCTTAAATCCAAACACCACTGAGTTTCTCAATTTTCTATTAACTCAGAATCACCCTTTACTGGAGTTAGATGAAAACTGACCTCTCAATGTCGTAACATCAGCATCTGAAGCTGGAGTTGGAGTCCCACTACTGCTAAATAAAAATAAAATCAGAAATTTAAGTTGGACATGGTGAGAGAGATTTATTAGTTTTTGATTTATCTGTGATTCATGCTGCCACACTGAAAAGCATGTTTGCAGAATAAATCTTCCATGCTACTACTATGCTGGTAACTTCATAAAAATTAGGTTTTACAATATTTCAGTTGTTGTTTGCAACTTAGACATTGAGTCAGTTGCATCACACAACACATAGTGTGCCTCTCTAGGTTGCTAACCTCCTTATACTCCAACTGACTTGAAGTCCCACCCAAAAACACATTTTGCCTTCTAGAAGTTCTGTAAAGGAAGCAAATGCGAAGACCAGAGATAAAACACAAAGATAACCTGTAATATTCTATAAAATGCTCAGTTTTTAAAGTTTTCTCCAGTGCACTAAAACATCATCACTGTACTGAAATCACTGCAAGAAGATGGGTTCTTTCATCATGACTTTTACTCTGCTTTTTGGAAATGTTCAAAAGGCAGCAGTTTCTAAATCCAATTATTGCATTCACACACATATAAAACAACTCAAGGCCATATGTGAAAAATATTTCAGATAAAAATCAGATGAAGACTGTCAGCTTGAAGGAAAACTAACAGCTCTGACATGGCTCTTACAGTAAACCCAAGCTCCTTGGCCAATTCTCTAAGATCTGAGCAACTGTCAAGTTACCCAGAGCAGGAGACATACTCTGACAGAAACAAGTCTTCCCTGAATGAGAAAAAGCAATTTTTTAGGTTTGTCATATTTTCTATATGTACAGCCGAATCTGTAAGATTGGAAGTTTAAATGCTGGAAAGAAACTGAATTTCAGAAAATCATTGAAGTTCACTGCACAGAGGTATTTCTCTCACTTCTAAAGGAACTCTGTTTTTATTGGTGGTCATATTTGTGCCATAAAATAAGCAGTGCAGCAAGGAGTCTTCACTGTAATATATGCAAGCCCTGATACTATGTGAGCCATGGTTCCTGGCCTTGCCAGGTTTGATTTTTGATTTACGTACTAGATTACTGGTCTTGCAGTCTGTCCTCAAGCAAAACTCCACTCAGAGCTGATGGATATTTTGCCTCCTTCAGGACATATAATCAGTCTCTCCATCACTCACAAAAGCAAAGGCTTCCAGCACTGCCCAGACAACCAGATCCAAAGTTACTAAAGATACCCAGGCACAATCATATGATCAAACATATGATAGTTTCACAGAGTTAACATCTCAAACATTGTTTCTCCCCTTGCCTCTCAGATACATGTTACACTCACCAACAGACCTGAAGACAACTCTAATGAATTTGTAAGTTCAGGGAATGTGAAACTGACAGGGTGAGATCTATGTAACTATTATAAAATACTAGCAAAAAGTAAAATAATATCCAGATGAAAAAAGCAGAAAATACTTATTCAAGAGTTTAAATAGTACCTTCATGTATTTTCTTGATCAACTAAAGTCAATGAGCTCTATGCAAGATTTGAAATGTAGTTATTTGTGTCTGCTTCCACCTTGTGGACACTGGTACATGTTTTCAACCAGCACAGTGCAAGATAACTATCGAATCTCTGACAAACTCACTAAATCTTGGAATGAGTTCCCAGAATAGAAAGCCAAATTTTACTAGCAAGTGTAATTTAGATAAGATATCCTCTGTTATTCTCTCTGCTATTGCCATCACACATATAAAGAGTCGCATGTAATTAATTCAAAAAATATCAACTTCTTTCTGCTAAAAAACCTCAAACCAAAAAAAAAAAAAAAAAAAAAAAAGCAAACAACAAAACCCCACATTGAAAGTATTTAGGTTTTTTTTAAGAATACTGGTTGTATTTTAGAGGGATGTAGTTTCCTTACTTGTTTACCATCTCAAAACTGGAATAAAAACTCTTGCTTAATTGGTCAGATGAAATGTTTTCCAGTTAAATTCACCTAACTCCAAGGATGCATTACTCTTACCAATTTCAACAGGCATCTATACCAGAGTCTCACCAAATTACGGCATCAGTAAATAAAACATTTTAGTGCATCGTGTTTAATGATGGTATGTTCAGAAGCAAATATGATTCTACGTTTTAGGAGAGGTGAAACAATCTGGGATTTTACTTATTAAAAACTGTTTAGTGGAACACTAAGGCCAGAATAAAAACCTCAACAACAGCAAAGCAACGTGCAGTGAAACAACTCTGCTCCAGGACTTGGAATGTTATGTTCAGCTGAAGGGCTCAAATCCATATCAAAACATTAGCTAAGCCTTGTATCACTCCCCTGTTCTTCAGAAGGGGACGGCGAGAAACCCAGCTTACCGTGGTAGGCTCTGAGCTCAGCCTGAGACTCACAGGATTCGACCCCGATGCCCCCGGGGGGGTGCCCGGCGTGGGCTGAGGAGCCTCCAGGCGCTCCTGAGCTGCCCCAGGAGGCACAGGTCACCCTCGGGTCCCACGTCATCCCTGCCAGCCTTCTGCAGGGCCGCGCTGTAACTTAGGGCCTCGCAAAAGGACCTAAATGACTGTCTGACCAATGGAACCGAGCACCCAATTCTGCGGCGGGCTGGCCTCGGCCAAGGGCCAAACGCCCACCCACACGCTCTTCTCATTCCCCCTTCTCTACGAGACAGGGGGGAAAAATAAGATGAAAAAGCTTCTGAGTCAGCACAAAGATCGTTTACCAATTACCTCCACAGGCAAATCAGACTCAGCTTGGAGAAAATTAATTTATTGAATATTTAAATAGGCCTGGGTAGTAAGAAACAGGCAAACACTAAAACACCACCCATCCTCTGCCCTTTCCCAGGCTCAGCTTCACTCCTGACTCCTCTACCTTGTGTGGGCTCTGCAGGGGCAGCAGCTCCTTCAGGAAATGTCCACCTGCTCCAGCGTGGATCCCCCCCGGTCTGCAGGGAACACCCGCTGCGCCGCGGAGTGTCTCCCCCGCTTCTGAGCTTGGTGATCCCTAATCCCACCATTTCTCATTCTTTTCGTTCCCTCCTCCTCACCCTGGGCAGTGTTTTTGCCCTTTCTTACACACGCTTTCCCCGAGGCGCCACCGCCATGGCTGCGGGGCCCAGCCGGGCCCTGCGGTGGGTGGGCTGGGCCTCCCCTCAGCCCCCCCTTGCCCCTGGGCACCCAGTACAGTTGTGTTCACCACTGTACCCTGCAAGATCAATTTTAACTAAGTTGCTTGAGTTTTAAAAGAGAAATCCTCAGAGCAGACAAGAAAAAAAAAACAAAACAGAGGGGATGCTATGGTGCAAACCGCACTTTCAGAAGTGGAGCAGTTTGCAAATGGAAATGCCTAAAATTAGATTTCTGGAGTAGAGTACCACTCCTAGGTTAGATTACTGGTGACGGACGTATCAAAATAAAATTCTCCAAGTTTTAGAGGTCCCAGAAGACTCTCTCGACCACTGACTGAAATGAGCGGCAGCTCTCCAAGAGGGCACTCCAGTTAGTAATTCAACTTGGGCACCGCGTTAGCCATGTGGTGGCAACCACAGACCAAACGGGGCCATGGGGGAAACCACGAGAGTGCTGAAAAGCAAGGGGAGAATAAGGCCACTGTCCTTTACAGCGTAGCAAACCCATCACCTTAAGCAGCAACAGGCAACGCTCTTTGTCAGGGCCTGGTAATATAGTCTTACTTGCACTAAGGAGCTCTTAAATGCAAGCCCCCAATAGCTAACCAGTCTTCAGACAAAAATCCAGCTCACAGATGGCTGAAAATTAAAAGCCAAGGGCTTAAATAACACCTAGTGAAACCCTAACCAATCTAACCAAGTGAGACCAGTCAAGTATCAAATTTGGTCAAACTAACAGTTACCACTTCTTCTCAGGAGGATAAAAATACTGTTTTAAGAAACTGTGCTATAATCAACCTCACTTTATGCACAACATTGTTTTTTTCATTGCTTTACCAGAACAGTGAGGCTTGCTTTCTCTTTGCCTTCTACTTCCCCTTAACATTTTAATTTTTCAAATGCCCACTTTATTAATCTCCTAAAAAAGGAACAATAGTACTAGGGATCTCTAAGGAAGTCACTCAACATGCACATGACAATACATATACTCATTTGCCTGAACATACTGCTCTTCAAGGTAAACACAGATTCAAATTCACATTCATTCACACCACTTAAAATCTGAGGGGTTTTTTTTTGCCCCAGGATTAATCCGGGGCCCAGGCTTTATTTTTTAACTATACCTACACAAGCAAGCCACTCCAGGTGGAGGGACTATGTTCCAGCAACAACTTACTGTGAATTTGAGACACATACATACGAAATGTAATTTCTATTGTCCTACCTGCAGGAGTGATGCCCTGGACCACCTTGGCTGAGCATTAAGCAAAATATAAAAACATACACATATGTATGGAGAGGCAGGAAGGTATATACACAAGCAGATGTCTACGCAGCAGAACAAACAACACTGCACTGTGTTTCCTCGGCAGAAACAACCCGTTTCAGATCATGCAGCTCTGCTAGGCACCAGGATCTAGGCAGGTGTAAGACAAGACCCATATAAAGGCCTCTAAAGTTGATCTGAAGTAAATAGTGCTTATGGACAGTCTATGCGTATTAATAAAGCAAACACAGCTCAGAAATACAGCCTATATTCCCCTTTTTCAAACCCCAAGATACGTATTTCTGTGTGACATCAGTCATGTCAGGAAAAGACTCAACAGTTCCCAGTCCATCAAAGCATATACAGAGTCCCATTGACTTGTAGGCAACTGCAAAGCCTAAGCAAATTCTTTATGTGTAGCCATACTGTGTTATTAAGGAGAAATATCACACAGGACCCGTCAAACAGGGCATTGGTGATACTATTTCATGCACCCCCACTCCAAAATTTTATAAAGGTATTAGTAACATATGTTACTCCTCAAGGTTTAACAAAAACTCAGCTCTGTAGTTAGAGAAGGTAACTTCAGATTTGTACTACACATTCTGGGCATCCCTCAGCTTATCAATGATTGATATAATTGTTTATCAATTTGGATGTCCTAAAGTCTAATTTGCTATGTCAAGCATTTATTTTTCTTAAACATTACTATTTCAATGTTCTTATTGTACAAAGAGGGGAAAATCCTTTTATGGTCCAATTTTCTCCTTCTTAAATAGTTTAATCCCACAACCTTGAATTAAGTAAGTCTGTGATTTCAGAAGTATTTTTATATAAGTACAGAATGCAAGACTGAGCCTTGTACTCAGATTCTTTTCTTTTTAAATTGTACTTGCATTTATCTTAATTTTCATTTAAATAATTCTTGAATTTTGATCTCTTTTGGTTTTAATTAAAGCAGGACAAACATTTCATATTGGCTACCTGACAGTAGGGAGCACAAAAGGAAATACAAAACTGAAGAGGAGCAGTGTGGGACTCCTCACATTGGGTACAGATGCTCAAAAATTTCTGAAATGAGCAGTATCATTGCCAAGTCCACAGGCAGACAGTAAAGGAGCTCAGGTATGCTTCTACTTCACTGCAGGCAGAACTGCTGAACTGTTGAAATTATCCCAGCACACAAGAGAAACTCTTTTTCTTTCATGAAGCACATTTAGATAAACAGTACAAAATTTGAGTTGATACGTCATCAACCATTGTTGCCACCACTGATGAAACACCAATCTTAAATTTGCCAATGTATTTTGAAGCAGAGAATATGGCCAGAACAAAAGTTTGGACATGATTTATTGTGACTAATTTCAGTGAGTCCAGAATCAGCAAGTAGTAGTCAGAAGGGACACATGCTTCTATTTAATTCATTTGACATCAACAGCCATTTCTGAAAAAGTGAAAAACTAGTGCATTATATTAATCCTTTTCAACTATCCCATAGTCCCTATCTTTTCCTCCGTATGTTATTGTGCATACCAACACTCAAGCAAGGCTATGACATAAAAGCTGTAGTTTTCTACTGAAGCAATTTTGTGTTACTCCTTTGCCTTCAGTTGATTCTCGAGATGTCTTTTGACCACCCAGGAATTAGACAAAATGACCGTTCTATTGTCATGAGACATACTCCAGTATAAAGAGAGAAAAAAATCACTATGCAAAGTCCCAATGGCCTATTGAATAAATCAATCATTAAAAGTCTTTAGCTGATGTAGTGCTTCCAGACTTCCAACTGGGGCAAAACTCTACAATGTCCACTGGGCTGCTCTATACGTATCTGGATTATGTCCCATATATTACTTTTCCTTTGAGGTTTTCTCCTCAGTGGTACTTAGTTTAATCTCTCAGTTCCTTAAAAGGCCACACTAGCTGTGCATTTAATTTATATGAATGCATGCACTAGCCTTATGGGAACAAACTTTCATCCTGATGTCATGCAATTGTCAGTAATGCCAGATTGTGAGTTATTCTGGGAGGTAAATTACACAAGTACAAGCCACCTTTCTGTAGGCTATGCTAAAACTATCATAGCGTTTAATTGGCTGAAACCAGCTTTTTCCAGCTAGACACACAGTATTAATATCTAGGTAGGATTATGAGAGATGTAATAAATTATTTAAGTCACAGTATCAATTCTACAGCTGTTCATAGCTTTCAGCAGTTTTGCTTTAATCTAGAGGTGTAGTGTAGTTAAAATGACCAAAAGATATCAAGGGCCTGTCTTCCATTCCAGATCAGCCCCAAATTCAGAAATCATTTCACAGAAACAATTGTTGCACAGCAAAAGAAGATTGGTCATTGGTGATTAATTATTTTTTTCATAAAAAGAAAATACTCTTCTAGATTCTTGTGCCTAGGCTATGCTCTAGAAAACAAACCTACTGCCAAATTTCCTCTGTTCTTATCAGTGAGCAGACTGACAAATATGCCTACTTCTAGGCTTCCAAACTGAAATGACTGTTTCTGCACATTCATCAGAGAAACTGGAGTTCACCAGAGGCCAAGTCAGAGCACCCCTGCTACACCCCTGCTTCGAGGCATCCTCTGGAGAAGCCCGTCCTTCTCTGGCCACGTGGGAGCTTCACTTGACCATCTAGATTCCTAAAGCACCAGCTTTGGGTTAGTCGTGCCATCCCTTGAGACGTGAGACCGCTCTGACACAGACGGCACAGCTGTGGGGTGCGACAGCCACATTCATACCACAGCACTGCCCCGCACCGCCCCAGCCCCTCCCTGCACACGTGGGTCAGCAGGCGACGACAGCGCTGGCCGGGAAACGGCAGAACCTGCTCCCGTCTCCTCCTGGGCAGGAGGATTTCCCACGCCGGGCCCAGGGCCACTGAGGGTGATCCTGGGTCAGGTACCTACTCTGACTTCTCACAGAACATTTTAAAAAGGTCTTCGTTTTATTCTGGTGTGTACCAAGAGGTCTAGCATATTTTTGCAGGAAATAATAGTGTTGGCAGTTGGCAATACTGAGATGGCTCACTTACTCCTCTTGATGGAAGACATCCAAAGTTAGACGAGACATCTTCTACCCATGACAACCAATCAAGGCTTTGTTTTTACATGACCCTGGCTTACAAACTTCACATCTTAAACCATGACTGCTCTAAGATGTCCAGAACGCTCTTAGAATAAGTTTGGGTTTTTTAATATTGCCAATTATATTGCCAATTATTATTATATTAAATTTATATTAATTTCTTCCTGATACTCCATTATCTGGAGCAAATCTACATGTTTCTGTTTCACTGCTTCTGTCCTGTATCCCTCTCTTTATGTCATAAAGCACTATCATATCCAAGCACAAGACAAACAACAACTTTTAGAGGAAAAGATACAGTAAAACTGAAGTTTAAACTGACTGTAATCACAAAGGTCCCATCCTAAAACTATGAACAATCTCAAGAAACGTATACTGGGATAAAAGCAGTGTATTTTTGAGAGATGCAACACAGCCTCAGAGTTAATTGAGTTGGGTGAAGTTTAACAGTTGTCTACTGGAGCCCCTTTAATGCCTGTCACAAAGCACTTGAGAAGATGGCTTTTGTACAAGTACAACATTAATCACTCCCATCCAACTCTCAATCAAATGCTAGGCTCTTTGCATTGCTAGGTTGTTTAGCCCAGTGTATGCAGTGACTCTCAATTAATGAGCATTGACCCTAATTCCTTGTATATCTCTACATTTACTAGATTTCCTGAATGATCACATAGAGGGATACAGTAGGTTTTCAAACCCAACTTCTTCAGAAAAATGAATTTTTTCAGAGCCTTCAACATTAAAACTGAAATAACTGTATCTCTGAATTCACATTTTCTCATAAATAAGATGTGGTTCCATTCATGTAAAGAGCTAAGCTAGAGAATGACTGGTGCCAATGAGAAAGAATCAGACCCACAAAATTTACAAGGACAAGATTTTTTTTTTTTCTCTTTGAAAATAAAAGCATATAAAAGTTTAGTCAATGTTATTGTCTCAAAATAGAAAGTTCTGAACAGATGTACGCTACCCAGTTGACCTGGAGGCTCTGGGGTGTGCTCTTGTCAGAGGAGTGTTCAGCTCAACAGGACAGAGAGAAACCAATCTCTTAGGAATCACTTATGCCCTTATCGTCTCAAAGTTACTAAGTTTTATATATAATGTTGTGGTTATGAAAACATTATGAGTATACCTAATTTGAGAAGTTGTGTTGGTTTTTGTTTTTGGGGTTTTTTTTGTTTTGTTTTGGTTTTTGTTGTTGTTGTTGTTTTTTGTTTGTTTGTTTTTGTTTTTTTTTTTTTTAATCTAGAAAGTGATTACTCTTCCCAGTAAATTCATTACTCATATTTATCATAGCTTTATATGGCCCGTAAAGCAAGGAATTGAACCTGCCAACTTTTCAGATGAGTTCAGCACTAGGTTGTTTGGGTTTGAATTGCTCTAAAAATAACAGCTTAGATTAAGTTCTGAGTAGGAATGGAGTAATAATAATTTGAACTGGTTTTCCTCTCAGTTCAAATAAGACATGAAAGTAACAAGACAATTCAGGTTTGCTTTGGTAAAAAGAAGCCAAATTCGAACTAGTTTTCATTTTTATTGCCTTGTTAAAAGCGTGAGGACCCCAAGCAGCTAACTCCCCTTGTAACTGTTTTAGAGTATATTTTTCAAAAGTTTTTTTAGAAAGCATTTCAAAAACATTCCTCTTTCTTGCTTTTTGTAATGATGACCAGGACTACCTTAAAGCCTTTGGGAAAGGTTCATGAGATAACTGGAAGACAACTAACTATGGGCACTTTCCCAAAATAGATTTCTCCCATTAAACCTCTTCAGGTAAATAGCCTGCATCTGTGTCTGATGGCCAACAAGGTGATGACATACTTCAGCAAAAGTGCAAGCCCCAGATTGGTTGAGATATTTTGAGCATGCCAAGCATGCTGTGAAAGAGGTTCCCATGCAAGAACCACAGAATCTCTCCACCACACTTTTCTATATGCCCTTTTGCACAAAGGTGAATTTTGTTCATCTTCAGTGCACAAATCAACTCCAGCAGCAGCAAGAACTGGAGAAAAAAGAGCCTTTAAAAAGTGAAAATTACTTACCCACATGACCAATCAGCACAGGAGCTGACAAGAAAAAGAGAAAGAAGGTTACAAAATGTCACAACTCAGCCCTGCTGTTATCTCCAGAGAGAATAAAACGCAAGGAAAACACAGATGCTCACCTGCCCATTGTTTCCTTCATATAGGACTGTTTCTGGAAAACAAACAAACAAATCCTAAGTATTTTTGAGTATCATAAGGTGAAAGGAATTGAAATGCAGTTTATATCACTTTGTTTCCTCCCCTGTGACAAAATAATTCAATTTTATTTGCTCTATGTTCATTTGTTAAGGTCAAAATTTATTAACAAAGTCCCTGCTGAAAAGAAAGTGTGTCCTACATTTCCAAAATGCAACCAAAACTCAACAACAGATGTTGTAAAGAACACTAGGTTTGTCAGAAGATGCTCTGCATTTCTGCATTTTCCTGCATTGTTCTGCAGGAACAATGTTCTCTCACCTTAGAGGAGGCTAGCCATAAGATCCTTTTAAGCAAGTGGTCTTAAGAAATACAATATTACTTCCACTACTTGTCTGTAGATTTAAAGCAATCTTTCTGAAAGTACAGTTACAGCTTAAAGTAACACAGTGGGATTAGTCTGATGACTTTGTTTATGGTTATACAAGTGACAAGGATGACATTTTTCATTTATTGGTATATCAAGACTAAGGAGGGGCTACAGAGTTCACATTTTTTCATCAAAATTCTCATGGTGTTATTGCCACTGGTTCTCGAGAGGAGTCACAGGAATTTCTGTGTGGAACTCCACAAGAAAGAGAAGATCCTGAGCAGTTTGCAGCATGATAGCTGTTGAGGAATAGTGCTGTACCCTGCTGCTCTATCAGTGTGAACAGAATATAAAATATTTATAGAAGATTATTGTCCAGCTACAAAATTTCTGTTTCTTTCCGGTTTGGGGGGAAAAGGGATTGTTTGGCAGTTTGTTTATTAGCCTGGCTTTCCTTACATAATCAATACAGATATATTTTTCAGTAAAAACTCAACCCAAAGCGGATGAACTCAAATAGCTACTTTTAAGTTAAATTACAATAAACATAACACATACTATTTCCACTCTGAAAACTCCACAAAACACCCATATGTATTTAGTGACCTAAGGACTGTCACGCTAAGCTATCCTGGTGATTCTTTTTGTAAAAGAGGGATAAAAAGTCAAAAGAGACTCTTTGAGCCAGTTAGCTTGCTCATTCCCTTCACCTGTGTTTCTAAGGAACTGTACAAGTTCAGTCTTTACTGATTTGAAGCCACGTCAGTGACCACCTTTCTCTTCTTTCCAGGATATCTGCAGGCAGTAAGTGTGATCACAGCTAGAATGGCAGGCAGCCTGGATATCAGCCTGAGCAGGGCTTGCCAAAATACTAGCTTTAGTCAGTTTGTTTTTCAGCATGTCCTTTGGCCAACCTTTATCGTACAAGTTCATTAAATTAAGTATTCGGAGATACTTTAGTATGAAAAACTAAGACACAGCAAGACCAGTTTTAAGTGACAAAGAAACTAACAAGTCTACAGTGAAAAGTCTAACTCAGGGCCACTAAAACTGTACTGGACACTTTGGGGTACTTTTTAAGGGGTCATTACACTGCTCTATACTGCACCTGTACTCAGGTTTAGTGCACCGGGATCTGCAAGGAATAGAGAGACTGATTCCCTCCCTACAAGCTTTTGGAAAATTATACGTGAGTGGTAGCCCATACAGTAAAAGGTGTTTGTTCACTAGAAAAAGAGACTTTCTTCCACATTCAATCAGCCAAGGCAGTTTGTAGGTGCTACTGAAAACAAACCTGGTTATTAGGGGCCCCACACATCTTTTTAATACCACCTTATAGTCCGTACCCAGCAGCTATACTTGGCAGGTCTACAAAGACGATTGACAGCAGAGGTCAGTACAGTCCTGATCATTTCTTAGATCACCAAAACAAAGATGCCCCAGTGAGGGGTGCTCTGGCCAAAGCTTTCCTGCAGGGCAGCCTGAGGAGCTAATAGCACCCAGCTTTCCCAAGCCTGGGTCCCAGGACTTAATCAACGTGTCTTGTTATTTCTGAGTCGTGTATTCAATAAATTGTAAGAACAACTTATAAGAGCCAAACCTGAAATGCCAATTTATTATTTCAATGGCCAAGACCTAGAATATCAAACACGACACACTGTTTCCACATCTACATTTAAAAAAAAAAAGGCATTAAATTACTGAGTACTCATCCAATTTTGTAATAAACTAGCAAAGCCTTATATCGTATGATTAGCTTCGAATGACAGCCTCTGCATAGGGTAGCTAGATTATTCCTTAATTCATCACTGAAAATCACATCTTTTGTGAAATAAAATAACTTCAAAGGACTACATGCTTTAAATGACTGTTTAAGTGACCTGGCTTTTCACCATGCTTTCTCAGACAAAATCTCCCACTGGATACAACAGCAACTTTGAGAAATAATGGTAAAGACTATCATCCTTACATTTGGTTTCTACATAAAGCTGTGACGCTACTGCAAAAACAGCAACAACAAAAAAAGCATGAACTGTAAATGACAAATGAGTTGATAAAAGAAGTGTCAGTCATCCATCCAAACCCACATGCCAATGCAAAGCTTGCACTGAGATGACTACCATCTTGCAGCTTTACGTCGCAGGTAAAATCTTAGGTTTTACAGTAAATTCAAAGGGAAGTATGACATCAATACACAGTCTTCGGTTTCTTACAGTCTATAGAGGGCTGAAAAACAGATTCACACATTTTGGGTCAGTCTTACAGACGGATCCAATATAAAACTTGGTTTAATATAAAACTTATTTTTAAAAATGTTAAATGCATTCTTTTTTTTTCAACTGAGGTGTGAAAATGAAGCATCCCCCTATTGCTAAACTGCCATGGTCTGTAATAGTTTGTAGTGTGATTGCTTTCCTCTCTTCATTCCAGTCTAGGGTTGGGGCAAGCACTGACATACTTGAATTTCATGGCAAACAGGCATCTTTTTTTCTCAGAAACCAAGCGTTTTAGAGCTAATATTGGCTTGGTTTCTTATTTAGTACAGAACAGCATTTGCCAAATCACATCACCTCTCTGGCTCAGTTCCTTCATTAATGAGATGGAGTTTTAAACATACCTACGGCACAAGGATCTGCAAGGATTAATTAACATCTTGACCCTCTGGATACTTGAAGTGATCTATAAATAGTTCTACACAGCAGCAGCAGCCACACCAAAGTTCAAGGGGATGGCTTTTAATCAGTGAAGCTACCTTTGGCAGATGCTTTGTATAAAATTAGTTCTCTTGAAATGAGGCCTTCAAAACATTATTATACAAATTCTTCTAAAGTCAGAAGCTGAGTTTTGTGTCAGTTGCACTAGAGCTTCCCTTTCTTAACAGGCCACAGTTAGTTTTATATAAAGCAAAATTACCATGAATTAGTAAGAGTCCACAGCATTTCATACAACCTACACCACAATACCACAAATCACATACAGTACTGAGTGGATGGATGAGTTTCTGCCAACTTGCAAACTTGCAGAAAAGCAATGATATAGGAGATTCTTCTCTGGTCCTGAGAGATGATTGTTATGCACAGAAGACAAAATATCTCAGAGATAATTCCAAACAAGAAAAAAAGGTGGAGGAAATGTCAAAGAGATCTTAAATAATCTCATATTAGTTTAATCCCATGGGTGAAGGACTGTACCAAGCATGTTTGATTTAACCCACCTGTACACATCATTTCCAACAGGAAAGTCACAAAGGAACTATTCTCTCTTTGCTTATCCTGATTCCCCACCCTGGTGCATGGCAGAACCATGCTCTCACAGAGGCAAGGCCAAAGCACCGGGGGCAATTCAAGCAAATGGAAAACAATGTCCAGAACTGAAGCTGGAGGGAAAAAACAAGGATGGAGAGCAGTGCTCTGAGACATAAGGTGAAAATATGGTCTATAGCGAGTAAGAGGAGAGACATCAGGGAAAGCTTAGTGGAACAGAAATTGCCTTAACCATGTTCCACTTGAAATGAAGGCTAGAGATCCATGGAAAGGTGTCAGAAACGAGCTAAGGCTCCAGCCTGTCCAGGAGGAATCAGCCCCACATCAGAGGTGAACTCACAATGTAGAAATGATGCTTCAGTGTGTGTTAGACAGGGCTATGTAGAAATGAGGTGCAAAACAGGGAAAACAAGGAAGAACTACAGATTTGCAGAGTAAAGGAGCTGATCAGACAAGGATGAGGTGGATGAAGCATCAGTTCTGAGCTCTGCCTGGAAAGAGATGAGCAGGGGTTTCATGGCTGAAAGTTTCTGTGCTGTGCCAGCTGTCCAAGAGAGACTGAAAATGAAGATTTAGGCTGGAATTGGAGGAGAGTGACCAGAGAGAATTAACACAAAGGGTTTGAGAGATGAAAGGGAGATGACACAAGATTTGGAGAGGCAAATGGAGCTAATTAATCTATTTGCATATATGTGGTGAAGGTTTGGGGTTTTTTCTTTTTAAGTCAGAGGAGGCTAAAACTTGCAATACAAAAAGAAAGAACCAAAGTCAATAGGAGAATACTATACGTGAGGATAAGAAAGGGGGCGAATGAAATCTGACATAATGGCTCAAAGGATAGCAACAGAATATTTTTTTAATCCATAAACCAGAATGGGCAGTCTGAAAGAGCAGACAAGATCTACTTCTTTCCAGATTTAAAAGAAACTGAAGATGTGCTGTGCAAAGAAAAAATGTTAAGGTATCAAAAAGATACTGGAAACTGTGATCAGGACATTTGATTAAACAGAGAAAGACAACAGTTAGCAAGGAAGATCACAGAACAGGAAGAGGAGAGACAGCAGAAGAGGTCTTTCGGTCTCAGGAACCTTAGGTAGACAAAAACATCTACTTTGTGAGGTGGTCTGAAACTACACCACCAGGAGCTAGTGGTTACAAACGACTCACACCATTGGGGGGCTACATCCCACCTTTGAACACAGCTCAGAATTCAGGCAAAGTCACATATTTTACATTGCTAAGTGTCCATTTCAGCATGCTAAGGAGGTATTTTGTTATGCTATCCAAAGGCAGGGTTACCTTCTGCCCCTTCTGTCCTGGTCTCTGTCACTAAGCAGTTAGTCTGTGCTCCAAACACAGTGAAAGAGATAGAGCTGCTGATGG